TGTTTGCATCAATCTTTTCAGTGAGTGTTCGGTATTAATGATTCCAACCAGTGGAGATTATGGTCGCTGGGACTGGTGTTTTCGGTGCAAAAATGCCACAGGACTTTCGGGAATTTATTCAGCGAAAGACATTCCATAAGTACAAACGAATAACTTATCATCGTGCCTGTACATTTACCCTGTCTCTTCACCGTTTTCTAGTAGTGGGAAGCATCCGGCTTGTAGGCGGGCTTGTAGCTGGGCTGCGGGTGGTACGAGGAGCGGGTGTAGGCCTGGTCATAGCGGGCCTCGCCCTCGTACGTGACGTCAGCGACGTAGCCGGAATAGGCATCGGCAACGGTGTAGGTCACCTTCTGGGTACGGCCGTCGGGAAGGACAACAGAGTAAGAGCCCTGGGTGTTGTAGCCATCACGACCTTCCTGTGCGTTGAACTGGGGCTCGTAGTCTCCATAGCCATGGACGTCGTAGTTGAAGTGGTACTTGGGTGGCTGGTCGTAGCTCTGCTGGTGGGCCGGGGCCGGGGCGTAGCTGATTTGATGATGGGCCGGGGCCCTGTAGCTGGAGGCGTTGTCGGCGGCGGCAACAGCCAGAACAGCAGCGACCAAGAAGAACTGAAAACATGCCGCATTTTTCATACTGCTGACTATCCTTGAACATGCGCAGTTACATGTTTTGTTTATGCGTTGCATTTATCGATGATAGACAAACCATCTTGTCCTAAATGCTGAGTACCGCAGGTGATGTTTTTCTGAGCACGTCCGCAGACGGCACATCAAGCCAACTGTATCGTCGCTGTCCTCCAGAACTGCTGCTGTCCCTTACGGCGCACTGTTGGACGTAATGCGTGGGTGTATTACAGGCAATAGCGTTATTGCAGAGAAAGTGCTTTCCTTTCGAGTATGATGGAGGACACTTGCTTTGTCCCTTCCATCGAATACACACGAAAGACAATGCCTTTGTTTCATATACATCCTGGAAACTCTATTCGCTGTTCTCTGTCCCTCCTCCCGAACACTTGCCGTCATGTTGTGCGGTAGGTGGTGTGGGACCAAGTGATACCAGCCGTGGTGGTGTCTGACCTTTTATACCGCGGCTGGCGGCTGGACGGTCGACACGGCTCGTGGGCATTGAGGGAAGGCGAGAGAGCTTGAGGGATTGGTGCGGCGCGTGAGCTCAGCTCCGGAGACTAGACGCACGATGTGGGTCAGTGTGCGCGGCCACCATGCAACACGCGGAGTTATAAACGACCACCATTGCCGGTTGCTCACCCCGACTTGAAATAGCGATTGTGCCTGGTAATTGTCTTAATTAAGTGGTTTGTAACACGTCTTCATCACGATCTTTTGCCCAGGTGTTCAGCATACACAGCTTTGGAATTCTTGGAGTGGGCTTGCATGTTTTTTTTTTGTTATCTGCATGTCTCGCTGCTATCTTATGGTCTGCATATCACTCATGTAATCTGGCGCAAGCCAAGTTGTGGCCAACAATGGTAAGTAACGCTGGCGACATTGATGCCACACAGGTTACAAAAGGGAATCTGTGCCCGACCCTGCCAATTTCTTTCGTATTTGCATGCGTTCAGATCTCATGAAGCAATGAGCACGTGAAAATGCTACCCTGTGTGACATCTGAAGTCAGGTCCAAGGGTCACTAATCTTTTGACGTTCATACAACTATGTTGGTTTTAACATTTAAAGAACTCTGGGAATAGTCATCTGACAGCTTATTTTGCGCTACATTTTTGTGCACAACTGTTACAGATTGTAATATACTATGCCAAAATTTGCCGTAACCCAACTTTAGCCTTTTACCTGCGTTGGTGAGATTCGACACATACACTTTTGGGTAACTAGTTCGAGGTCACCCTGGCATCAATGACGCCATAATAACGCCATTGAAATCCTGTTATTCCATTGGTTATGCAGAGATCAAGGCCAAGACAAAATATACTTGTCCAGTCGTTTATTTCTGACGCTCGTGAGTACGACATCCAGACATGACGGCCGTCAAACGGCTCCAAATCCAGACATGACGGCCGCCGAACGGCTCCCAATCCAGACATGACGGCCGTCAAACGGCTCCCAATCCAGACATGACGGCTGCCAAACGGCTCTCAATCCAGACATGACGGCCGCCAAACGGCTCCCAATCCAGACATGACAGCCGCCAAACGGCTCCCAATCCAGACATGACGGCCGCCAAACGGCTCCCAATCCAGACATGACGGCCGTCAAACGGCTCCCAATCGGTGTTACGGGAAGTGCGAAGACGTAGCCAATGACGCAATGAGGAAGACACTTGCTTGATTGAGAAATTGCTTGGTCTAGGGCAGTATTTTCCTCCCAAAAGTGCACCAATAGTTATAAGTATGTGTCTTCATCTCTGTTGCGCGCTTCAATATCTTCAGTTGAGGGGCCCTTAAACATAACGTAACGCTCCGAGCGGGCGCAACATTATGTCGCGATGACAAGAGCTATGCATCACGCCATTTTCCTTTTAAGCTTTTTTCCAGACATCTTTTGCGACAGAACTTAAGGACCCTGTTTATGTGACTTGAAAACGTCTTTTCGGCGTCCCCTCCAGACGTCTGAGACGTCCTTTGGAGAATACCAAAGACGTATCTTCGGGTGATTAGAATGTACATGGATGCATTATGGACGTGATTTTGGGACGTCCTTTAGGAGCATTTACGGTGATGATATTTACAGCAAGCCCTAGTGCAATAAACCAGGCTGGTTTTAACCTTGGTCTGACCTTCATACCTGGGCTATAATATATATATATATATATATATATATATATATATATATATATATATATATCTATCTATCTATCTATCTATCTATCTATCTATATAGATATACATAATATATATCCAAAATCAGTACAACTCGCTCATTCAATTTTTGTATAGCCTAATAAAGCACCTTAGAGATGCGTGCCTCCCTCTAACACTTCATTGTTGCATCAGATTGAACGAGTCCTTAGAAATTGGCTTCGCTGAAGCCATGACCTGACTTTGACCAGCCATAGGTCAGCAACCTTACAAAATACATATAAATTATGACACCAAACGATCCGATATTTCATAGCCTACACTCATGCAAAATTTGGCACGGCTACGCCGCACCGCTCAGCAGTCATTACGGAAAAACCTTCGGGGCAGGTCGATTTGACACCCGCCCGAGCGCGTGTTAAGAAGTCCTTTGCCTACCAGGACGTATCTTCAGGTGATTGAAAGGTATATAATTGACTTGTTTACGCAATTTCGGGATGCCTTTCAAGAATATTTGCGATGATGCCAGCATATTTCTGATGGGCGTGACTTTAAGTTGATACGAGGAAATGGCCAAAATACAATGCCTCGAGGCAGTCCTTTTTGCTACCAGAGATGCCAGACCATAAGGACCACAACAGTAAAGACGTTGGCATTTATCAGTAGCCATTAACGCAACGTGCCGCTAATGCAGTAGAGAATTTCAGCATCAAGGCTCATGCCGTGTTAATGCACTGTGAGCCCGGCTCTAATGTTCACAGCGTGTTGAACAGGAGAGCTGAGACCTGAGAGGCTCAGGTCTAAAGGGCAGCACCAGGTGATCTTCAAGATGGGTAAGTATCCCATGGTGCAACACCTTTTCCCTTGTTTTCTGATATCTGTATCTGTGAACGGTGTGTCAACAAGTCCAAATTGATGCATGACGTCAATGGTCTCCCCAAGGCCAGCACAAGACCTTGAACTGAACCCAACAAATGTGGAGATGAACACTCGGGATAAAACAGTGACTTTCTGAGAGCAATGCAGTTTCAAGGATCGTGGGATAATCCATTGCCACCACCCATGAATCCACGGCGCATATATACACAAACACGCCTTGAGGCGGTGATTCCGACACCCCCAGACGACAGACCGGCCTGTGATAACTACGTTTGACACTGCCTAGCCCACTTCCAGTTTTTAAGGAAATCCAAGCCCTGGCGACCGTTCCCAGTCTATTGATTACTGATAAAAACCTATGTAATATGGTTCTGAGCATGCGCGCCCGCAAGTCATGGCAACAACAGCCTCGACATTGCAGTCTCCATAGGCCGCGTGACGTCGGCCTGTGACTGACATTAAGCGATGGCCAATGCGAAAACGAAAAAGCGACGCATCTTGAGGAAGATGGCTGGGAACTAGGAAAATCGGCTTGCATGGGTAACGTGGTGCAAAAGTAAACTAAACGCAACCTTGATCTGAAAAGTGAGGGGGACATTTAAAGCTGCTGCCCCCCCCTTGACAAGTGTGTGTGTGTGTGTGTGGTGTTGTGTGTGTGTGTGTGTGTGTGTGTGTGTGTGTGCGTGCGTGCGTGCGTGCGTGCGTGCGTGCGTGCGTGCGTGCGTGCGTGCGTGCGTGCGTGCGTGCGTGCGTGCGTGCGTGCGTGCGTGCGTGCGTGCGTGCGTGCGTGCGTGCGGTGCGTGCGTGTGTGTGCGTGTGTGTGTGTGTGTGTGTGTGTGTGTGTGTGTGTGTGTGGTGGGGGGGGGGGGTCCCCTGTCCCTCCCTGTTTCTACACCAATGGCACTGCGTCATTTCTCTTTAATTCTAACCCTATCCATGTGTAGCGGTAGACCATGCCCCGGGACAGTGTATCAGTGAGAACAGTCACGGCTCGGGGCGGTGCGTGACCCCGTAGGCACGCCGACAGGGGTGCATCACGGTGGTGCCGGCCGGTCGCACGCAGATCATGTTGCGGGTTTGAGGCTTGGAAGGAGTATAAGAGATGCTGCTAGGGCACGTAGGGTGAGTCTCCCTGTCGGCGTTGCGTGCAGCAGTTACCGTTGTGTGTGGGGTGGTCCCGGCCGAGACTTCATGTGATCAACCGAATACAAGCCATTTCGGCCAGAATGCCCGAGACCCCGGCAGCGGCTGCAGGCGGTGTTGACGACGTCCATCACGGCTGATGGCGCAGCGACACCAGCGTCAGCCAGCGGGAGCGCCAGCGGGAGCAGGGCCGTCACGCGGGATGGAGGTGGGGCCGTTTGACGCCCGGCTCATCCCGGAGTACGATGGATCATCGGACGCCGTGGAGTGGTTCACGCGCGCAGCGGCGCTGTGCAGGCATCGCGGCGTGGACCTGACCGGCGTCCTGCCAGCACGGCTCACGGGCGGCGCCTTCGCTGCCTGGCTGCGGATGCCAGAGGCATCGCAGGACTCCGTGGATGCCGTGCGCGACGCGTTGTACGACGCGTTCACCATGGACCGTCTCGCGGCCTACGATGACTATGCGAGTCGCCGTCTGCAGCCTAGTGAGTCTGCGGATGTGCATCTTGCAGACCTGCGCCGGCTCGCCACCTTGTTCGGCGGAGTGCCTGACAGCGCATTCGTCTGCACATGCGTCTCCGGTCTGCCGGGCCAAGTCTGCAAGACAACCTGGGCCGGCGCCCGCGCTGAGGCGCTGGACCTAGCGAGCGTTCTCGCCCGGGCACGAGCCGTGCTCAGCGGTGAACGTGTCGCCGTGGCAGCGGCCGTGGCGCGTGCAGAGAGTCGCCTCCACGAGCCCCGCCAACGCGCTTGGCGAGACGTCCACTGCGACGCTGCTGGACGTGCGATGAGTCGGGCCACGTCGCCGTCGCCTGTCCACAGCGTCCGACGGGAAACGAGTCGGGGGACGCCGCGTCAGCGCGAGCGCCGTCTCCTCGCCATTAAGGGGCGCGCTTCCCATCACCCGGCTGGAGGTGAACGGGCGGATGGTCAGCGTGCTGGTGGACACGGGCTGCACGGACACGCTCGTGCACGCCGGCCACTGCGCACAATGGACACCGCGGATGGTGCAAATGGCCACGATTAACGGCCAAGAACTCAGGTGCTGCGGGACCGGCAGCATAGTGATCAATACCACGGACCGTCGAGTGACGCTCGAGGTCCTGGTAGTGCCGGGCCGACCGCTGTGTGTTGACGTCGTGCTCGGCATGAATGGCATCACTGCCCTGGGAGGCATCAGCGTGCGGACGCCGACAGACGTGCGGTTCTACGGGGCGGCAGCTGTGACCCAGCGAGGCCTAGAGGTGGATGCAGCCGACTTAACGGCGAGGTTTAGCGGCAAAAAGCAGGCGTGGACGGTTGCCTGGGAGTGGAAGGACGGCACGGGCCCAGAATGTCTACACAATGTGGTGGCCGAGTATCCTGTGCCCGCGGACGCGCGGCAGGCGTACGACGCGGAGATCGACGCATGGATCAGCAATGGCTGGCTGATGCCGTACGACAAACAGGTGGATGGACCACCGCGCGGTCTGGTGCCGCTGATGGCGGTGCGGCAGGCAAACCAGGATAAGGTGAGACCTGTCCTGGGCTATCGCGAGCTGAACAGCTTCGTGACGGCCCACACGGTGGACGCGGACGTATGCGCCGACCAGCCCCGAAAGTGGCGGCGACAAGGGACCCGCGTCACCGTGGTGGACCTGTGCAGGGCGCACCTGCAGCTGCGCCTGGAACGCCGACTGTGGCCCTACCGGACGGTCATGGTGCGAGGACAGCGCTACTGCCTGACACGACTGGGGTTTGGGCTCAACGTCGCCCCGCTCATCATAAAGGCTGTCTTTCGCGCAGTGCTGGCGGAGGACGCCGACATGCAGCGCGCCGTGCTCCCGTACGTGGACGGCCTGCTGGTCGACGAGAACATCATGAGCGCAGACCGCGTGGTGCGCCACTTTGCTCGCTTCGGCCTGGCCTACAAAGCGCCTGAGCGCGTAGCGGACGGCGCGCGCCTGCTCGGCCTACGCGTGCAGCTGGTGGAGAGGAAACTGCACTGGTCGCGCGACAATGGCGTCGCTGCACCACCGGAGGAGGTCACGCGGCGCGCTGTGTTCGCATGGTGCGGCCGGCTGGTGGCTCATCTGCCCGTCAGCGGCTGGCTTCGCCCTGCTGTCGCGTGGCTGAAGCTTAGGGTGAATGCTGTCATGCGCGGGTCGGACGACGCCACCACGGACGTGGCACTCCTCTCCCAGATCTCTCAGACCGCAGATCGACTGAAGACGAACGACCCGGCCCACGGCCCGTGGAGCCTGACGGGTGAAAAGGTCATCGTTTGGACGGACGCCAGCGCCATCGCTGCAGATGTGGTTATCGAGAGCCCAGACGACGGTGCGGTAGAGGATGCCTGCTGGCTGCGCCCTGAGACCACGATGTCAGCACACACCAACATGGCGGAGCTGGATGAGGCGGTGCGCGGGACCAACCTGGCCATCGCCTGGGGGATGCAGATCATCGACCTCCGCACTGACTCCGATGCGGTCCATCGGTGGATTGACGACGCGCTGAGTGGCCGCGCGTGTCTTCGCACCAAGGCGCATGGCGAAATGCTGATTCGACGGCGCATGGACGCCATCCGGCAGTTGGTGGATGAGCTGAGCCTGACGCTGGGCGGTTCGCGCTGGTGCGGGTCGGATGGAAACCGGGCGGATACCCTGACCCGCGTCCCAAAGGAATGGCTGCGCGGGACTCAGGTAGACGACGATGTGCCAGTTAGGATCCTGGCACGCACCGGGGGCGCAGGTGCCGTGGGACGTGGCAAGAGCATGCGCATTGGCTCCAGGGCGGCAGCTGCCGCCGTACATGATGGTGCTGACGCGGCGAAGGGCGGCGATAGCATGGACATCGAGGCGCGGATCATGGCTGCCCAAGAGAGTGCTGGCCATCCAGGAATCCGCCAGACACTGTACTTCGTGAGGCGCGACGTAGCGCGGGAAGCGTCGCGAGCCGCCGTGCGATCGGTTGTGGGTCGGTGCGATGTGTGCTGATCCATCGATGCAGCGCTAACGCAGTGGCGGCATGGCTCGCTG